GCTCAAAGCGGCTCCCCTAGAGTCCCACAGCCCTGTAGAGGGCAGGGGGTATGCATCAGTAAGCCAAGGCAGGTTTTTGGAAAGTTCTAAAACTACCAGGATATTTATTCTGCCTAGGATGCAAATGAGGATGCCTCACTACCTTTGCCCTGGGGCACATGTAAGGCCGGAGGATGGGGGGTAGGGGAGTGGGGTGTAGGAAGGTGAGGTTCTAAGTAGGGCTGGGCCCTGAAGGTATCCCCCTCGCCAGGTTTCAGGCCCACGTGCCACCTCAGGGAGGAAGGTTGCTTGCATGTGGGCTACACAGTCCTCTCTGAAAGTGATCTTCTGATAGAGCAGCTGACTTGTCAACTGACAGGCTGGCTGGGGGAGGCTGGCAAAAGACCTTTCCTTTGTATTCTACGGGCTGCCAGTGGAGACCAGCCAGGCCAGGGGCTTATAGCTAAGATCCAGATCTTAATGGTAACTCCCTACAGTCTCTGAGGAGCATGAAAAGCTACTTTGACAATAAGTCAACTCAAATCTGATTAGTATCAGCACTTTAAAACCACAAGGACTCCAGGGAGGAGGACATGTGTGTGCTCACATGTGCACATGCACCACACACCAACGGCAGTGGCCAGGAGAAACAGGGCTGCAACAGCCCTGCAGGTCAGCTAAAACCAAGAGGCAGGTCACGAAGACAACAACCCCCAGAAACTTGCAGTGAAAAAAGAGCAAAGAAAAACGTGTGTGAGCAGGATACTGAAGGCAGAATGATAACTAACAGAAAAACCAGCTAACAGACCCAGTCCTCCTAGAGAGCCAGTACATGTTCTTACCAAACCTCAGGTGCTGGATACCTTGCCCCAGAGAAGTGGCAGGAAAGAGCCCTGTCTTGCCTTGCTCCCTGCTGCTCAGCTCACAATTTGCCCCTGGAAGTCAGCACTTCTCACTGACCTTCCAGGCACCTTGACTGGGAGCCCTAAGACTCATCAGAGGGAGGATGAATCAAGGGCTCTGGATTGCAGGGAGCCAGGAGACCCTGGTGACCACACGCCACCCAGTGGCCAGTCCTGATACAGCAGGCGCGCAGGCAGGGAGGGGATGGGAGGGCAGTGGCAGGACTTGCAGAGAGCCTCCCGATGCAGACCCTCAGAGCTGGCAGTTCTCTAAGGCCAAGCCCCAGAGTGAACACTTTTACTCTTAGGCCTTTGGCATCCCTGGACTGCCATGCACGCAGTGATGAAGAGGAACCCAGGCAAGGTGCTTTACCTCTCTGGGCCTTTGTTGCTTCAACTATGAAATGGAAATAATACTAGAACACACCCAGTGGAGTTTGTTACAAGGCATAAAAGTAAGCTAATATACAAAGAGCACTTTGCAGAGTCTGGTGGCCCGTCAGAGCCCAGGAAATGGCAGCTGGTACTGTCACTGTCATTCAAGATGAACCAATCCAGCAAGGGAAGGGCCAGAATATTCTACTGTCTCCCAGGGATGTTTTGGCAAAGCTCATGCAAGGGGGGCTTAGAGTCATGGTCCCAGGTTCCTCTGTCACTACTGTTGGGCTCTC